CTCGGTACTAATCTCCCCTCCAGAAGTGACGCCTGTTGCAACGTTTTCGGAAATAGTTGCAATTCTTCCATCATCGGCATATATGCTAGAACCTCCAATCTTGCTACTTTGAAACACTCTCACGGAATCGATATTCAGTATCTTTGAAACAACATTGGGATCCTCGAAATCAACATCCTCATCGTTGGCTGCCGATCTGGAATCAAAGAAATGAATGACACCTTTTCCTGACTTGATAGCAAGAGCATGTGCAGTCACAGCAATGTCTTGTGCCTCCTGTAATGTCTCGGATTGTAAAAATGTGAAGCCAGAATTTCGTATCGAAGTTATCGAAGAGTAATCTGGATACTGCGAGGGTTGTAATGAGACGTGAATGACCACTGGGAAGTTGGCGAGTCTGTATAGGTGGGGTACGGAAGAAACGAGGATTGAGGAACTTGTAGTGACTGTAACAAGTTTTCCATTGCGGATTGGTGTGAATACTGATAATAAAGGATCATTGTTGTGTGGAATCGTTTGTAACTAGATGAATATCACGTTAATACTTTAATTCACACTGGAGGAATGTAACCTGGCATAACTTACCTCTGGAACACCACTCTCATTCGCAGCAACAAGACTCAGATCCTTTCTTCCTGCATATCTGTGTAAATGTGAAGAGAACTCCGACTCAATTGAATGAGCAGGCTGCACAGAAATGATTACATCGCTGGACAAATATGCAATTCTTGCCACTATTCATGGTAAATAACAAAATCAGTGTCATAGAATCTCTTGAAGTGGGGGGGGGGGGGTGAATGGAGGGGAAAGGTGCCGCATAACAGGGTTGTGGAACTGATAGATAGAACTGATAGCACGGAGAGTATGAACATACCAGCTTCTTCAGGTGTACGAATCTTTCCTGAATTCGTCGCCATTTTGTTAAAAGAATGAGAATGAGATGAAGTATTAGAGGTGTTCTCGAGTCTGCGAAAGAGGAACGACATGATCAAATATATTTTTCTCCCGTCCTAATCAAGTGCCTCCTCCTAGGGCCATTAATGTGATGCGATATTCGGCGAATGATACAAGGGTATATCTTTAGATATTGGAGGCTATCGAGGCTATCGAGGCTATCAAGTGCATTTGACCAGCGGCAATCAGTGGATTTATTGTCATTTATGGTATAGTCAACAAGTGTATGTAGTAAACAGAGGGGATAGTGAGGGAATGGAAGGGTTTGGGACATAAAATCATGGAGAAAGGGACCAGTGATTGACCAATTAGAAATCAACAAAAGTATCGTTTGTCATCTAAAACGGCTTTGAAGGAAAACACCAGCCACAACTGAGCACGCCATCGATGCTGATCAAAATATTTGATGGTGAGAATATCAAAATTAACCAGGGAGAAGAATCCCGAAATGCTTTTATTCACTCTAGTATAAGGCACTTTCCGAGTAAAGCCCGTGTTGATGTCTTGTTTTGTGCCTGGTCTACTTTTAAAGCGTTGTTGGTTTGACGCTTGAATGCTTCTTGGTTGCCTCGTTGGATTCGGGCTTTGAAAGCTTCGAAATGAGGCCAATATTGGTGGCAAGAAAGTTGAACTGGACTTGGAACCCGAACACGAGATGTTTTCACAGGTTGCAACTATCAATTTGCATTAATTCCTAAATCATTATATAATAGTAATTGCCGTCATCAATGATTTCCTATTCCATGACCATAAGCAATTCGAGAATCCGCCAAAAAAAAGTTTGACTGCTTGCAAGCACCCCCTACCAATGTACCCAAAGAACGCCATATGTACTATGAAAACCTCTTCCAGCTTAGAGGTTACGAAAGATTGATCGTCAAGCTCTTCTGAAATGTATCAACAGAATGGCATGCCAATGACGTCCTCCAGTTTACACCATTGCTTTCCTATACAGCTTACATCATCGTACCAACACAATAGAAATCCATCTATCATATTTATTCCTCACTGCCCAAACGACGAATCATCACATTGAAAGTACTCTTACAACTTCCCAATGCCGAGGCCCTTGGCAGGAACAGGTGGTCCTGTTCCACTTCTCGCTCTTCTTTCTCTTTCTATGGTACCTGGAGGTCCATTGAATGTTCTTTGGGTCTTGAATCGTCCATCTAAACCTTTGACCCATGCTTCATCTACTTGACCACCAAGCCAATATCCTTCTCCAACCTTCACCATGAGTCTACCAAGTTTGCCCTTCCAGCCTTGCCCTTGTGGCGAGCCTATCGCAAAAGGATTTTCTGCGCGAGCGTCGGTGCTACCATCGGTGTTAAGATGTAATTTTGTTGAAGAGGCAGAGTACATGTTCTGCCTTAAAACTTGTCGAGCATATGCCATAACTACCAAAATAAAGTAGACTCGAATCAATGTGAGAATTCCAACGACGATGATACTAGGAACGCTTTCTTCGATCCCAACACTCTGCTCAAGAGTTGCTCCGGCCGCAGTCCTGTATGCTACCGCATCGTGTCCAGCACCCGAAGCGGGCGATGCAATAACGTTGACTGCGCTGACATTGAATTTTGGGCTTGTAAAGCCTGCCGTCTCATCAATCGTGCTACCTCCTGGAGCGGCGCTTGAAATACCCTTATTAGATTGATCGGCGCTTACGGCTAGGAGCCATGTTATTGCGAATGCGGTGGTGAAGGCGGTGTTGATGATCGTGTCGAACAAGTAAAACCATGCGAGGGCTAAGCATTGAAACGGTGTTTGTTTGCGGATGTGAGGCATGAGGAACGCGGTAAGTGCGAGAGCCGCGACGGAATATATGTACAGTGAAAGTTGTAAAGGCGACAACTTCAAGCCGGCAAGCACTGCGAGAAGACCGTAAAAACCAGTAACTTTATTGAAGATCATTGATAATGAAATCATCTCTGTTCCGGTACGTAAAGTCATGAGATATAGGAAAGTCTGTTCACTAATTAATATTGCTCTTTCTGCCATGGACGACAAAAGATTGATAAATAGAGACTACCTACCCTGGGGCGAGGAACCCGCACCCATCGCGGTAAAGAGACCATCATGAAATTGTATAGGTGTGTAGGAATTTGACTCGTCAATGTGTTGCGACGAGAAGTAAAAAGATTCGACAATGCGCCAAAAGAAAAGATACAAAGTTATTCCTGATTGATAACTTGGAAGATGGTTTTTCGGGTCTTCGGATTGGTATTGCTTATGTAAGCTATCACCTATATTTGGATCGGCACAATCTTAAAGGGGCTCGCGATGGACAAGAAGACCGAACAGCAGGTCCGCAAACAAAAGAGCAAATTTGAAAGTCGCTCTTAAATTAAAATCAGACCTAAATTTATGTTCAAATTTTGAATTCTTGTGAAATGAAGAAGAAGAATTGTTATTTGGAAGATTATTGGATGGATTAAGGAATTCCAAAAAGAAACATCACTTGATTGTTTTTTGATATCAAATTTAGATTGCGGTGTAGAATTTTTGTGTTCAGCTATTTCTGTCCGTTCGGAGAGGGTCGCGTTATCATTGAAATCATGGGATTGCTTGCGAGAGGCTTAAAAACTGTCAGGTCAGTAGATCAACATCTAATACATCCTTGGGGGCTCATAACGGAAGACTCAGTGAGGTAAAGTGTGTTCATTTATTCCAGAATCTGATCACTTAGCTTTCTACCTCTAGTCTACAATAACTTCAAGAGCTCATTAAGTAGGTACGCCAAAGATGTACGCTATCGATATCATATAAATACGCTGTGAAATGCTATGCTCCTAATCCTTTCAAAGTCCCAATTAAGACAAGCATCGAAAAGAATTTGATTACTCCCATTATTACTTTCCTCGTTTAACATGCACACCCTTCTTGACTTGCAGGAGTTGGGTTGACGTTGACATCAATCACTATTTCCACGGTTAGCAACTGCCACACCAATGCCGTTGGCCACATTCAAACTTACTTTGGTTCGGCGTCGCTGCATTATCAGCGCCTTCCATCCCAGGCAAAGCCTGAGCTATCCTCCTGAATAAAGTCTTCACGTTGTGGCCCAGCTTTGCACTCGTTTCAATGAACATCAAGTTGTTCTTCTTTGCCTCCTCTTCACCCTCGCTTGTGGTTACTTCTCTTTTGTCGTTCAAATCTGTCTTGTTGCCAACCAATACAATAATGACATCGTTTCCTCGTTCTCCTCTGACGTCGTCCACCCATTTCCTTGTGTTTTGGAACGATTTTCGATCTAACAAGACATTAGAGTGTGTAGTTTGAAAGACAAATATAACATCGTACTTGAAATATCATAAACCACCACTGCTACACTAGAATCGCGGATGTATGAAGGAATCAAGCTTCGAAATCTCTCTTGTCCAGCAGTGTCCCATAATTGTAATCGCACAGTTCTGTCCTCCAGGTACATAGTCTGAAGAGAGTATTAGACTTATTGCTATAGACTTGGTTCTCGGAGAATGCTCACTTTAGAGAGGAAATCTATACCAATCGTTGCTTGGTACATGTTGTCGAAAGAGTCGTACATGAAACGTGTAATAAGAGAAGTCTTGCCAACTGCAATTCATTATTAACTAGTCAACCATATAGAATACCGCATGAAGTTCATACCGCTTTGCTCCCCAAGGAAGACCAATCTGCAATCATAATTAGTGATGTGGTATTAGACAAGACAGAGAACAACGTACTTGAACTTCTTCAGGGGATTATTGTAAGTTCCAGTTGCTTGCGCCATTTTGAAGTTCCAGAATATGAAGACGGTCAAGAAGTTTATATTAATTGATTAAGATTATTTCAGGGAATCTCTGAAAGTCGTGAATTTACTTCGGTATCGCCTTTTTAACAAAGGAGGACGACTTTCAGAAGCTTGCTTCAATAGCCTGACCGTAAATTGTTGGAGGCGGCCGAGGCTGGGCCTTTGGCTCGAACAGGCTACCGTAGCTATCAGAAAAATTATCGTAATCTCAAAATTATTTTTCTCGCAATCGCCAGAATTTCCAAAGTCTCAGCAACACAACAGTAACAAAATGCCTGTCCTTAAACCACTTGCGGGCTCTAAAGATGCTCCTCAACAACACAATCAAAAGTCAAGGAAAGGAAAGAAAGCTTGGAGAAAGAATGTCGATGTTACAGAAGTCCAAGAAGGTTTGGATGAAGTCAGAGATGAATTGATTGCAGGGTAAGAGACCATCTGTAAATCTATCATTTACATATCACTAATTCAATTGCAGTGGAGTTATTGCTGAGAAGGATTCCGCTGATCTTTTCACCTTGGATACTGCTGGAGATGCTGCGATACCGAAGAAATACTTGAAAGCCTCCAAGCCACTCAAAGCCGATGAAATCATTGCTCAACGCTCTGCTGTTCCAGCAGTGTCGATGAAGAAGCGCCCAGGACAAGGTACTACCGATGGTATTATCGAATCGAAGCGCCAAAGAACTGGTTATATTTCACACAAAGAGCTTACTCGACTACGCAAAATTGCCGATGGACATCAAGAGAAGACGGTTGAAGTCACGGAAGCTTCATTCGATCCTTGGGATGAGCAGAAGGACATAGAAGAAGCGAAACAAGATCCCAGATTCTCATTTCTCGAGAAAGCAAAAAAGACAACAATCCCCAGTTCATGGAAGCAAAAGCCAATTTCGTTGGCAGCCAGTGGAAAGGATATTCCTGCAGTTAAAAAGCCGGAAGGAGGATACAGTTACAACCCAGTATTCACAGATTACGAAGAGAGATTAACGACTGAAGGAGAGAAGGAACTTGCAGCGGAGAAGAAACGATTGGCTGCTATTGAGTTAGAACAGAAAAAGCGAGAAGCAGCGAATAGATCTGCGGCCGAGGCAGAAGCTGCGGAAGCGCGAGCAGATATGTCAGAGTGGGAAGAAGATTCTGCTTGGGAAGGTTTTGAGAGTGGCGCAGAAGATGTTCGTTTGAACGCTAAGAGGCCTGAGAGGAAAACTCAAGCGCAGCGAAATAGGATAAAGAGGAGAAAGGAAGAGGAAAGGAAAGCAAAAATGGCTGCTCATAACAAAAAGAAAGAAGAACAAGCTGCACAAATCAAGAAATTGGCCAAGGCTCTTGCGGAGAAAGAAAAGGCTCGCTCGTTGACGGTGGTGGAAGACGATAGTAGTGAAGGCGATGATATGGAACTGCGAAGAAGAAAATTGGGAAAGATTTCTTTGCCAGAGAGGGACCTCGAGCTCGTCCTACCAGATGAGCTGCAAGAATCATTGAGATTACTGAAACCCGAGGGTAACTTGTTGAAAGATAGGTACAGAAATATGTTGGTTCGTGGAAAAGTCGAGAGCAGACGTCCTATTAGCTTCGCAAAGAAGGCAAAGAGAAAGGCTACAGAGAAGTGGACCCACAAGGATTTCATGTTACATTGAGAAGAAAGTCCTAGATGAGCGGAAAACTGCAGCTTCACGTGATAACACGTTATTTAATATCCAATAGAACACATTACCAGCGTTTGCCTACTAGATTTTGCATGCGTGTTTGTTTGTTTCGAAAGCTTCCAAAAGCATCCACGAGGCTTGTCGACTCGTCTTTCTTCTGTTGGGTGTTATAATTCACCACACCTCTCTCGCGGATCTTCCAAAACTACCCATGCCTAAACATAAGATTGCGACTTCTCCTAAAGATGGCGACTTGACCATTGAAACGCTCTACAGCCCAGCGTTCGATCGAGAATTAATTTTGCTGTGTACCATTCAAATGATGATTTATTCGACGCCGTAGACAATTTGCTAGAGGTCGGTAGCTTAGGTCCCCTAATCTTGCTCTGAATTTGAGATGTTAAGATAGAAAACAGCTCGAGTCTCGGCTCAACCAACTCAATATCAACTCGAACCTTCTGAACCTTGCCCTGTGGGCATCAAGTAACAATCGCGTCCAGGCCGTGAAGTCAATAGCTGAGGCATGTTCTTATTGCTCAAGCATCAACTAATCCTTACAAACTTTCAGCTAACAAGATTTTAGTTTCGACAAAGACCTGCGGCCAAGGAAAAGCCACCAGCAAGTCACACCAGTCCTATTCGATATGGTATAAAAAGGATCAATCTCCGTACTCCTGTCTCGCAAGGAAGTGTACCAAAGAGAACAAAACCCAATGAGTCTTTCGTGGAAGCTCGTGCGAGTGGTGAAGTGGCTGTAAAAACTAATGTTCTAATGGAACACAACAAGAAGATTGTCAATCTGAATGGCAATGATATTAAGACAGAGGGAACTCCGGATCCTTCCACACACAAAGTTTCACCAAACGATTCAAAGCCTAATGGATCACTTGTGGACACTCTGGTGAAAGTTGAAGAAACTGTAGAGAACGATTTGTTGACGGAACAAAAGGACGAGACAATCGACCCCATTGAGAATGACTCGAATGTCGTTGATGATCAAGGTGTCGGTGCTGGCAACAATGATTATAACGATGATGGCAGTGGTAGGAACGCTGATCTTGATGACTCCTTCGACGATAACTCCTCCGATGATCATTATGCTGATGATGTTGAAGGTGGCAAGCTGCAAGAGTTTATCAAAAATGGCAGGTCAGGTGTGTCAACCTCTGTATCATTTGGATACCATGCCGATAATGTTCCATAGTTAACAAAACGAAGACATTGTTCGAATGTGCTCATAACCAGGTCGGTGAAGAAATGCCTGAGCTGGGAAATGACAATGACCTCGAAGAACCCCCCGATCAATGGGCAGAAAGTCTTTTACGACACCTCCAAAAACCACTTACAGCTCGGCCACGCCATGAATCTCAGTCGGCCAGAGCGGTTAAAGACCAAGATTGTTTCATAAAGGCGATAAAAATCGACGAGAATTGGAGTTTTATTCATCAGCGGATCATGGATATTGAGAGAGAATTTTTCCCCAGCATATATTCATGTTTGATTAGGAAGGGTGGTGACAGATCTCATCCAGACATTAGATTGCTTACCAACGGATGTACTTGTGTTAAAGGTAAGCACAGGTGGAGAATTTCTCTACGAAAATTTGGCCCTATTGGTGCACGGAAAAGTTCGCCCACAATAGATGAGATTAAGTCATGGTTCAATCAGAGCTACCACAATACCATTTGTGATAGCCAGTTTTGTTCCCGTCCATCGCACTTTTTAGATGAGAACGCAGCTACTATTGAAGCACGTCGAAGATGTCGCGCCAATGCCCGGAATAGACTTGGTTATTCTTGTCAAGGTGGAACTGATCGTCTTCCTCATAACCCGCCATGTCTGCCTACTGGTTCAACGACAGAGGAAAGTACTCATTCCAAACTTGTTGGCACGCCAGCTCACATATTAGGGTTCACATGGAAACTCCCATGTCCTGTAAAATGACTCTCGATTTTTGCTCTTGGCTTGATCAAATTATCAGCGTCATCACTCAGTTCGAGACTAAATGAAGTTTATTAGAAATTTGTCAGGCGACTTAGCAATCTTCTTGACGTTCGAAGTAGGTGAAGAGTCTTTTATTTCGACATCGCCCCGACTTGGGTTAAACAATACTCCGTCGGCGCACCTGCACTCAAAAAGACATTCGAAGCTGGCCTTCTGCGCATTACAACATTTCTTTTCTGCTACGAGTTTTATTATTCAGTTTTGTTTTGAAGTCAGCAAGGGCTATGATATTCCATTCCAGCGACGGCAAGGCCTTGTGTCTTCTGCGGTGTTAGTAGGAGCGGGTGTGTGTTTATTTGTTATGATGGGCATCATGACGTGGGGAAAAGATTATCTATGATGGCCTAGCAGCACACAACATGGAGGATGGTGTCGAGGATTATTGTGCTAAGCGAGATGCATGAAGCTTCTCTTGTAAAGGTATCCTGAACAGCCAATAAATCGACAATGTATATGGCCTTTAAATTGTGCAACGACGTTGTAAATCATGCTATACGATATCGCCGGAAGTGATATAAGTGATAGAACGCTATAGCTAGATTATAATGAGATATTCACTTTTATTCCGCTCCCCTTTCCATATTTGGTTCACTTTTCTCGCTTCTCCTGCCTCAACCAGTTTCTTCTCCACCCTTTTTTCACTACGTGCCCTCCACCTTTCAACCTATTGAACCAAGTCAGCCTCAGATTCTCCGCTCTTATTGTCGAAGCAGATACAACAACACACTCAACAATTATTCCGCAAGAAATCCACGTCACGTATCTAGCAAAAGGACACGCTGACTTTCTCAATTGATCTCGGCCGTCCAATCAGAACAAAACACCATGACTGACCCCAACAAAAGCGCAAGTGAGCCTCTAGCACAAAGAGCTGTCTCGGAGCAGCCTGCCCAAGAACCTTCCCAGTTGACCATCGAAAATGTTGCGGGGTTGGGATTTGACAATGAACTGATTCGTTTTGCTGTCTTTCATACGAATGGATCCATTTGGGAGGCTGCCGATGTGCTTTTAAGGGTGAGTGATTCGGTATAAGATTCGAGGGCGTTGAATGAGGTGGAATGTCTAAATTATTCATCGTGTACACATGTTTCTAGATGTCCAAATCACTTGTGGACTTTTCCTCTGATTTGAGGCATATACGCATTATATGAGACTTTCAAAACGTTCACCATCGACTGTACTAACTATCAATTTAGTTCGAAAGTCGACCTGATAAAGGAAATGCAGTGGGACTTCTTGAATTTGCCCTTTGGATTGCAGAAAATGACCAGATTAAAGCTTTGAAGATTCTTGCCAGAGTAAGTTCTAATTTCTTCATTGTGTGCTCAATAAGTAGCTAACATATGTTGCTATAAAGTTCCGTTCTGGTACTCTAACTCAATCTGATACACATGGAACCGCCATATCAAGAAAAAGTATTGAGAAAGCCAACAATGAGACGACGCAGAAGCAGTCCACTTTAGAGGAAATGGCGTATGGAGGTAAAGGTCAAAACAAGGAGGTTGCGGAAAACGGAGATGGGGCGTCCACTATTACGAATGCAGCCGAAGAAGCTAACGCTACGCTACCATCAAATAAGACGGCAAGTGTTGTTGAACCCAGGGAAGCTCCAACTTCATGTTGGTCGCCGGATATTCAGTCTCGCCAAAGTAAAGGCAAAGAAGTTTCATGGTCGTTGCGACGTGATATGAGGAGTATCACAAGCTCACATACACAGAAGACGACGATGAAAGAAAGACAGCACGTTCTAATGAGCAACAATAGTCAGGGTGGTGAACCCCAGAAGACCACAAATTCGAGCGAAAGCAAAAGCAACATGGACTTAACAACAATACAGACAGAAATCATCATTGCGGGGCCAATGTGCCATACTGAAATCAAAGCAATCACAGCGGCTATGAAGGAAGAAGCAGTTGACGTCAGGAAAGCCACAACTAACCCGGAAAAGAGTGCTTCTGGTAGCAGTATCAAGCGCAAGCTGGAAATTATCGAAATTTCTGATGATGATGATGATGATGATGAAGATGATAATGACGGAACCGACGTCGATACTCATGATTCGTTCCAGCTGAAGGAAGAGAATGGTGCCACAGAAAACATCGCTGCAGATAACGCTTCCGCAAAGAATGGCTCAGTGGACGATGATATGGTTGAAAGGTCCTCAAGTGGCTATTACTACGATTCTACACACGAGCAAGAACCGAACCTTTCACCTCTCGTGAACGAAAAGGCGTGGCGGGTTAAGAAAAATGGCATGGGCAGAGGAAATTTTCCAGAAATCCAAGTCGCATATAAGGGTCTCGGGAGAGAGACATCCTTCCCATCATGGCGAGTGTTTCAGAAGAGGTATTCAGGAGAAATCAACTCTCGCCGTCATTCGCAAAAATCTCTTGATTCTAGAAAGCAAGGCATTTCCGGACCCCACAAAATGCATTCTAGAGGGAGCGATAGCATCTGCTACAATCGAGTTCAAATATGGTTGCCAGCATTGCTTAATGACTCATAAGTGGCAGTTGATGCTGGATGAGGTGGTCGTCTTGCTCATTTCAAATCGCATGCCACCCAAGGAAGGCTTATTAGCTCTGGAAGCGAACTATATTTCGAGTAGTAGCAAATTCACTAAGAACAAGCTTTGTGGAAATAACGCATGTAGACGCCCATCCCACGTCATTGGGGAAAGCGGAGAAGCCTCACGCTCCCGCAGAATATGTCGAGCTAGCCGGAAAGAAGTACTCGAAAATGATCACGTCCTGGAAGATAAATGCGTCAATGGTGATAAGCATTACCCAGAATGTATCAGAGACTTGACACTTTCGGACGAAGCAAGCTACAGAGCATGTGCAGCTCACAACTTCAAAGAGTGGCACGAAAGACCTGTAATTAAGGTGGCATGCGGTAAGAAGTTTAAGAAGAAGAAGAGAAAGTACGATAGCTAGCAAGCACGTAGAAATATCAAATCGTAGCATTCAACTCAAAATTGAAGATTAAGATGTATGTGAAGCGAAATACCAATTTGCGTAGGATGAAACTACCCAAAGCTTTCGGTACCCAACCTTCTCAACGTGATCTCAGAAAAAGATGCAACTTATCCATAAGGCCTCAAAATCTAGACAAAGTGATAATAGAGCGAGATTGATTCTCCACGCAAGTGAAAAAACAGACGGAAACTGCTCTTCTTGAGTTTATCTCGATATTACTTATTTATTGAATTATAAAATCAATTCAAAATGAATGTTGAAATCTGAGAAAATTAAACTGAAGTTTGTAGAATTTTTACATTGAAAATTGGAATTTTTAGTATTTAATATTATGTTAAAAAGAGATCTGAATTGTTCGAGTTCTTTTAAATGGTAGTCGCTTGTTATTTCGCTGATATAAAGACTGACTGCCGAGAGCTTTTACCCGACGCTTGCGGCCGCATGTACCGCTTATCCTCAGTAAGCCATCTCGAACATCGAGCTCTTATGTATTATGACTGCAATTCCCACAATGGTGTCGATACAAATGGGGCCATGAACTCACGATCATCTTCTTTTTCTGTGCCATCAGCGCGCCTCCACCAACGTCCTTCTTTCTCTCATCGCATATCCTTTGCCGTCTCAAGTGCTGAACAAGGCGAGGCTACCAATGTGTCGAATGTCGCAGAACGTCAGATAGATGAGGAAATCGAGGAAATCAAACGTTATGAGGTATGATGCTACCTTATGCGCTACAATCTGCGGCTCTGGAAGCCTTATGCTAATCATGATTCAATAGGATTTCACGACTATAGGTAATACCCCTCTTTTATCCGGTTTGCGACAAGTAAGTTGACACTTCTCAAGATTGGGTTCAAGATGCTGCGAAAGAACAAATACGAAGGAAAGTTCGAAAGAGAGAAACTGCGGGTTTCTTTGAAAGAGGTGGACATGCGGGTTGGAGATATAAATTATGGGAATCTTATGATGCGGCGCAAGCCTGGATTGTAGTTACTATTATAGGTACGGAATGGTATAAATGTGGTGAGGGGCAATATGCTGATGCGAAACGTTTAGGCGCTGCAATTGGTCTTAATGCTGCATTTTTGAATATAATCACGGAATGGCTCTCAGATATTAAGTTGGGATATTGCAAGACTGGATTCTACCTCAACGAGAGCTTTTGTTGCTGGGGAGAAGATACAGGCATGTTTATGACCAGTAGATGAGAAACATGGTGCTAATTAGTGTAGGATGTGCTGATTGGCATAGGTGGAGCTCTTTCCCACCAGTCAATTATGTGATCTATACTTTATTCGCTGTAGGTATTCTTGTTTAACTTAGTCGCATCGATACTGACCTCTTTAGACGATATTCGCATTAACTTCAGCAAGTCTCGTTAGATCATTCGCCCCTTATGCAGCTGGATCTGGAATTTCTGAAATAAAATGCATCATTGCTGGGTTTGTCATGAAAGGATTTCTTGGATTCTGGACTTTGATCATTAAATCAATTGCACTCCCTCTGGCAATTGCATCTGGCTTATCAGTAGGTAAAGAAGGACCAAGTGTTCATTATGCAGTATGTACCGGCAATGTCATCTCCAGACTTTTCGAAAAATATAAACGAAATGCCTCCAAAACTCGAGAAATTCTAAGTGCTTGTGCAGCAGCTGGTGTTGCTGTGGCATTTGGTAGCCCAATAGGGGGTGTTCTGTTTTCCCTCGAAGAGATGTCCTCATATTTTCCTCTGAAGACTATGTGGCGAAGTTATTTCTGCGCATTGGTTGCAACAGCTGTTCTTGCAGCAATGAACCCATTCCGAACAGGCCAACTTGTCATGTTTCAAGTTCATTATGATCGTGAATGGCATTTTTTCGAGGTAATTTTCTACATCATATTAGGTATATTTGGTGGACTTTATGGAGCATTTATGATCAAGTGGAATTTAAGAGCACAAGCATTTCGAAAGAAGTATCTCACCAAGTATGCAATACTCGAAGCGACTTTACTTGCGACTGGAACCGCTCTGATTTGCTATCCGAACATGTTTTTACGAATCGATATGACCGAGAGTATGGAGATTTTGTTTTTGGAATGTGAAGGTGCGGAGGATTACAATGGCCTTTGTGATAAAGAGAACCGATGGAAAATGGTCTTTTCATTGACTTTGGCAACAATCATTCGAATGTTTCTCGTAATCATCTCATATGGATGCAAAGTTCCAGCTGGAATTTTCGTCCCATCCATGGCAATTGGAGCATCCTTTGGTCGTACTATCGGTATTCTCGTCCAGGCGATTCATGAAGCATATCCCGCCTCCGTATTTTTTGCTGCATGTCAACCCGATGTGCCTTGTATTACACCAGGAACATATGCATTCCTTGGTGCAGCTGCTGCTTTGAGTGGAATCATGCACATTACTGTCTCCGTCGTCGTTATTATGTTCGAGCTTACAGGTGCAACAACCTATATCCTTCCAACTATGATTGTTGTTGGGGTAACGAAAGCCGTCTCTGAATTCTTTGGAAAGGGTGGTATAGCGGATCGCATGATTTGGTTCAACGGTTTTCCTTTCCTCGACAATAAAGAGGAGCATACTTTCGGTGTACCTGTATCTCAAGTCATGACAGGCGATGTGGTCATTTTGCCGACAACTGGCTATACAATGAGGCACTTGGAAAAGTTGCTCCTTGAAGATCGATACCAAGGATTCCCGATCGTTGAAGATAGTGTTTCAAATATTTTAGTTGGATACATTGGCCGGACAGAATTAAGATACGCAATCGATCGTGTTAAACGAGATAGGACCATCTCTCCTTCGGCAAAATGCTATTTTTCGCCTCCGAACAACAATTCAACTCAGGATCCCGTGACTCCCACTACACCAGCAGCCTCTATAACATTCGAAGGCATGGCATCATCATCGGTCGATTTCAGTCGCTTCATAGATTCTACGCCTGTCACAGTCCATCCTCGATTACCATTGGAAACCGTCATGGAATTATTCCAAAAAATTGGACCTCGAGTAATTTTAATCGAATACCATGGAAAACTAGAAGGCCTAGTAACTGTTAAAGACGTCCTGAAATACCAATTCAAAGTGGAGGCCAACGAAGGATTTAGAGAAGAACGAAGTCCCGTCTTATCAAACAATGAAGAAAGGCTATGGGGTGTAATGAGAAGTGTGGGAACTTGGGTGGGTAATAAAGTACATAGTGCTAGTGGTGGAAGAATTAGACTTGCAAGTGGAGAGACGATAGGAAGGAGAGGGAGCCCGAGGTTCCCGCAAGATCATAGAAATGAACATATAATGGAAGGGACAGAAGACGAATTTGATGATGGAGTTGAATTAGAGGATCGATAAATAGATTGGAGATAAGATGATTTATGATTGAATTTATACTTTATATAGGTACTTCAAGAGTATGATATAATGGAGGTTCACATGGGATGTATGTTTCACGAATCTCGTGATATGACTAGGTTTATGGATTCGTGATTGGCCAATGGACAAATGCAGATGCGGATGCGATGCAACGCAGATCAAACAAACTATAGCCTCAATCGTCCGGCAATATTACATCATTTTCTAACTCAATATCGTAATAGTACGCAAACACACTCATCTCTAGCGCAATGTCAACATCCATCAAGTCGCCAAACCAAAACATCCTATTAACCCCCTCTTCAGACTTGATCGAAAATGGCAAAATCATCGACCCCTACAATCTACCCCACCCAGTAATCTTTCTCTCCGGCACCACAAACTACAACAAAGACGAGAGCCGCTGGCAAGAGGTTCTCACAGATCGCCTTCTGGCCCGCTCTCGTTCCACATCCACAGATGATAAAAATGTTACCAACGAACCAAACAGCTTTGCACCAGTCACAATAATCGACCCCTACAACCCCGCCTGGGACTCGACTTGGCGTGAAGATCCCTCAGATGAAAAATTTGTCACACAGGTGAATTTCGAACTGGAGGGCTTGGAATTAGCGGATATTGTTGTAGTGGGTTTCATAGGAGCGGATGTTCGCGCTGGAAAAATAGGGGCGGGAGGGACGGCATTGTTGGAATTGGGGATGGCGTTGAAGAGGAAAGGACAGAAGGTGATTGTTTGTGTAGAAAAGGGGTTTTGGAAGGAGGGGTATGTTAAGGTTTTATGTGAGAGGTTCGGAGTGCAGTGTTTGGATAGTTTGTCGATGGTCGAGACGATAGTTGGGGAGGGAGTGGATCCATGGGAGTCGGAGTCGAGTCAGATGACGGGGTTGGTGTGATGGGAAATGAAGGGGTGATATGGTGTGGCGGGCGTGGCATAATTCTCCTAGGGTATGGAAGCTGGGAGATATGGCTGGGAGGAATGATTATTTGCGTTCTTGGTGCGATTGTTGCGGCAGACCTCAAGCTATGAGCCAGAAAGAGTAGGAATTTTTTGGTCGGTGCAATGGAGAGGGCGGGGACTACGATTTTATGAGTTTGTTCTCAAATGCAATTTTTTGACACGGCTGGGAGTTCTCTGTATGGCCGTTTCTGGTTTGTATAATGGTCATGAGCCTGGTGAGCCTAAAGTTGAGTCATTCGCCATACATTGATCAACATTCATCTGGTCTCGAACTCTTATGTTATAAGCCAAGATGACGTTAAAATATGTTAATCTCGCTATCGGGGATGACATATTGTTTATATTGGCATTTCCTTCAAATAAATCATGGATTCTCCAGTTTATGAGCCTTTAGTATCAGGTGATATGTCGAAGTGTGCGAGATCATAATACAGTCCAAAGATATTAGAGAATGACCATGAGACGGGATAGATGCCATTTTGATATCAAATTTAGACAAGACATGATCACCCTAGGTACCTCGGGGAGAAGAAGAGATAAGCTTGAATCATTCATCATCTTAGATATATTGAATACGCTAGAGTCATATCACCATGGCGAGTCGATATATGAGAACCAAGATTTTACTTTCTTTTGGTAGACTGAAACAATTTCATTTGTGCTATGGCAATTTGATGAAGTGTCAGTCACAGCCAATGCCTCCATTCTGCATCCCATCAATATCCGCCACCTTCAAATCAAAATCAAAGCCACCAGTGTCGAAGCAAAAAATAGCACAAATCCCATGAAAATCCCCATGCATTCTAAAAAAAAAAAAAAAGTAGTGAAGGCATCATGAACCGCTTACTTCCCAATCAATAAACACTCAGAAGCAAATTCAAGGAGAAGCGGAGAAGATTGCACTGTAAGATCTCGATAGCAACGCAAAGGAGTGAGTAGCTCCGCTATCTTGAAGGTTAGCAATGCTTAGGCTTTTCTGCCACGAAACATACCCACACAAAATGAAAACTCTCCATTATGAAGTCTGGCCCACTCTGAAGTGCTAGTGGTCGAAACTCTGGCGTCGTTCAAGCTTCGGCTTCAGACATATTGGTATCTTCTCCTTTGATGTCGACTTCGATCTCATCTTTACCATTTGCATCCTCTTGGGCGCCGGCTTCTTCTTCGTCATCATTTTCGTGCTCATCGTCGTCTTTGTCTTCTTCTTCATCGACGTCTTCTTCCTCGTCATCCTGCGCTTCTGCTTTCACGCCATTCTCATCCTCCTCAGTCCATGCCAAGTATTTATCGTTGTCATCGATACGACCCTGGCGCTTATAGAGTTCGTACTTTCTTTGCAGAATAGCTGGTTCATATTCGTTGCCACCATTTTGGCCAACGTTTTTAGCAATTTCAGTCCACATTTCTGTCTTAAATTTTCGCAACACAGCTTCTCTCTCTCTTTCAAATTTTGCCAACAGCTCATCTCTCGTATTCTCGAGTTGATCTTCCATATCTTGCTTGGAGATGCACATCTTTTGGATCTGATGTGAGAAGTTAGCAATCATAAGACGTCAGAGAAATATAATTGATATGGAGCCGATTGTCGACATACATCACCATGTTCAATCTCGGTCGCTGCAGCCTTGACTCTGGGCCATCTCATTCTAAGCGCATCAGCTTTGAGTTCAGGTTTACCCTGTATTTCCAGGTTAAACTGAACAATGAGTTCTTTCCATGGAGCCTCTGGGTTTTTGGTTTTGAGATCAAACAATAACTTGTCTTCCCTGTTCAACTGGGAATAACAATCAGGATTGTAAGCATTTGCTGGTAACTTGGCTTTCTTGCGAGCTCCACCGTTCGTGGAAGTAGCCGCACGTCTCTTTTTGGACTGGGTAGTTGTTGCAGCCTTTTTGGTGTCAGCATCGGAGACATTTGGAGTTACTTCATCCGATGGTTTGGCTTTTTCCTTGATCTTGATGTCTAGCTTGTGGGTGCTAGAAGACTTGGACTTGGGGGCAGCTGCGGGTTTCTTCGTAACGATTTCCTCAGCATCTTCTTCTTCTTCGCCACCATCCTCGTTCTTGGTGACAGTCTTTGCCTTAGAAAGAGTCTTTCCATGGGTAGTGCCGGCTTCTGATGAGCTGACTTCATTCTCACGACCGGGATTATCGACATCAGAATCATCTTCATCTTTTTCAACGGTCGTGACTTTGGTCATTTTGTCTGCCGTCTTCTGTTTCTTCTGTGTGGCGTTCTTATTTTTTGAAGACTTGCTTGGCAATAACTTCTTGGGCGAGGGGGTCTAGAGTATAAGGAGTCAATTCTGAGATCGTTTTTTAGGATATGAAGTGGGGATGAAGACTGAAAAGAATTCGATCTAACAGTATCCAGTTTGGCTGAATTTGGCAATGACGGCCATCGAAGTTAAAGCTGATCCATAGGCAGTGTTTCCAATTTTCCAAATCATGGAATATACTGACCAGAAGATTATCGAGAGGATGTTTGTTGCAAGAATTGAGGGTAAAAAAAACACAAAACTTACATCTAATCCGTTCACCAAAACTTCATGTGTAGTAGGGCGCACCGGGGAACTTTCAGCTCTGAAATTGACAGAGATGCTGTCTGACTCAGAAGACATGTTGAGAGGTATGAGATTTAAGGACTTGTTGGAAATTTTGCGTGGTATGCCGTGTTTTTCTGCTTTTGTAAGGTACTTAGGTATTTGTGGTTTTCGATTATACTGTCAGTTTTGGCAAATCAGAGTTTAAGTAGATATCTTGAAGCTCAGTAGAAAGGCACTGGCAAGTTAGATTCAAAGAAAAATAAAGAAAAGAGACCTCCCGATGTTTCTCGAGCTCTTGATGATCGAAGGATTTACTGAGAGCTGTTGAGAATCATTCGACGTCACCGAGTTGGTTCTGGATGTGAGGAAAAGAGTTTGAAGTGAGAGGTATAAGGCCTTAGAATAGTTAACTGTCAATTCTTGGTGCCTATCTTTATTGTTGTTGCTTTTGGGAGTTGGCAATCTTGACTTGTGATTGGTCGGAGACTGAAAATTGGCAAGGGGTTCGGGTAGGAGCATAGCAAGCTACGACAGGTTAAGATCCTCGGAATGCCGGAATTGGTAGAAAGATGTACGAAAATCCAAGAGAGCTCTCGAATATTTTTGTTGTGAACTTTGCAAACAATTTTAATAAAGTCTCAGCCCAACACACATGTCTCAAATTCAGCATCTTTTTATACTATTCAGTGTGTACTTATGTACTTATGAATGAAACAGCTACAGATCTTGGTTCACGTTTGAAATGATATTCGAAAGATGGAGAACAGCCAGCGTGATTTCGATGCCCTCGATTGTGAGCTGTGTCACTGGTAATCCGCCCGGAACCTTCTGGTCGACAAGCAACAGGTTTGAAGATACACACTCCTGGATGAACCAAGAAGCAAAAGATAAGTTATGAGGAGGTTAAAGCATTCTTTAAACCCAGCCTAACCATTGAAGGTGAGCGATAGCATGGAATGGCAAGCTCTTTCAACAGCTACTGCCGAAACATCGGGATCCTGACACATAAAATTCCTAGACTAGACACAAGTTATAGTGTTTAATATGCTCAATATGACCTCGGTTTCCCAGTCTATTTAGTCTATTTAGACGTGTATTTGCTAGACCATTTCGGTAATACCGATGTCAGAAGTTGTGACTTCATTGCCTCGACGAAGATCTCATAGGTATATATCGCCTGAAAGACAGAGGTAAAGATCCAGTCTGGGATACAAAATATCTTGTGAGCAGCCAACGACCATGATAGATCTCTCATTGATATTTACGCATCTTCATGTTGATGGGAGTTGAGTGAACTTCCACTCCACAGGCCACAATTCGATATTTGGTATCCAGAAACTACTTACTTCCTGTTACAAAAAGCGCTGATAGACAAGAATTTTGATAAATAATAACTATACTCCGATGCATGATTTTGTAGATGATTAGCATTGATCTGCCTCCCAAATGTTACTGGAAATAATAAATGAATGTGAATAATAAGAATTGAATGAGAGGTTCACACACACGTGATCAACGCCCTCTATGTATGTCTGCTTAGTCAGTCCATTCTTTCTCGACTGAGTCCTTTCTCATACCTCAGTAATAATTCCTCAACTTGAACAAACATCAGAGTTGATGATTTTTTGGACTCATGTTTCAGGACCGTAAATAATAATGGCCAAGCAAGTAAAGCTCTCGGCGAAACTGTTATCGCAGTTAAACTTACTTGCTGCTGTCACATTTGCTTACCGATACTCTAATTGATTCGGTAGGCAATATCCCTCAATACTTATTCTACCACCCGAAGCGCAGCTACCTCGGAATTGACTAGAACATGACCTCCTTATCAGCCTCCTTCTGCATACACGAAATATTACACTGTGCTGTGATTGCTGGTCAAGTGTCCCATTCTCATCCACAACCATTATCATACGTTATCTTTTGCAATCCGCCTCATATCTCATGTCCGCAATCAAGCGACGTAGTATCTGGGCGTTATTTCGATGTTTGCGTAGCACAATAAGGCAGATCACTTCAATACTAGAGGTTTGAACTATTAACTCAAGCCAGTCATACTGAGTCGCTTTACGTTTTGTGTTTCTTGCATCTTGGAAGTTGCACTTGTGTGACTTGAACCCGAGAGTGATTGTAGTGGCTTGTATGAAGGTTTTGAACCAAAGTTTGTTTATATTAAGCTCATGGACATCTCTTCGAACTCTAATCAACTCGTTGTGTCTGATTACCTCCATTGTTGCGCATAACACAATCAAACACTCTTTATTGCGAATACAAGTTTATTCAAAGTGTTCCTGCTCCCCCGTCCATCCAACTCCTCTTCCTCATCTTCGGAAAAATAACCTTTCAGAAATCAAGCCAATGCCGAGTCTTTCAAATGGCTCCTTATCATGGAATTATCACGGCTGGGTTACGGAATAATCGACATTACGCCCCGAATTCTCTACCAATTCTACCCTTACATCACAAGGGCCCCGTCAAGCATATTGAAAGGACTTCACCTCCCGTAGTTCTTAGCTTTCCAAATGGAAGTGATGTACCGATGCGGTCAATTGAACTTGAACGCAATCTACCGGGTATTCACCATCAAGCTCGTGAAAGAGGCAATCCAAGAATCGATTTCATGGAAATATTTGGGGATACATTCGAACATTTTGATGATCGTGAAAAGCTTTCAGAGGCTGGGCATTGGATTTGCGCAATGATAAGCAGTTCGGAACAAGCGCAATGTTGTCCAAATCCATTCGGGGTCTCATTCGGCGACTTAGAAAATCCTCTATTTTCTCGCATTGATGATATGCGCCATTATGGCTTGCTGGGAGACCTGCCAATGGAAAGTTTCGCAGCGGAACAAATTTTGCACCTACTCCAGGCAATAAGTGACGTATTGCTAGAAGATCTGAGACTTGGTGCCTACGATGGGTTACTATTTTACGAATTCATCAGAACAGCATATTGGCTTACACCAATGATTTCACATGTTCTAGGAGGTGCCGGAGTATTGATCTTGCTACGAGCGGTTGTGTTAATGAGCGGTCACGATGTTGATATTATTAAACGATTCATTGCCACAATACCATGTCTCGACCAGCAAGATCTAATTAAGTCTGCACAACGTTATTGGGAGATAGAAAAAAAGGAATTGGGGAGACTCATTCTTCTGATATTTGCAGGGGTCATATAGTTATTTCCGCACTTCTGATTTTTAGCGAAGCTTCCCGTTATCAACTTATCATCCAAACTCTTCGGCGTCCAAAGCCACGTTTATTTGCATTTGAGTCTTCAAGCCTGAATCATTGTCAACAATTGTTACAAGGAAGTTGAAATTTTCGAAAGAGATTTGGGAATAGTGTGAGGCATTTCATTAGTTGGTCCACTTTTCAGAGTTTTTATGGAACAATGTCAACGTCTAGCTGTCGCGGTCTGAGAGTTCGAAGCCGTCCAGCCCCAGAGTGCGGCCACTTATTTAGAATTTAGTTTTTATGTCAACCTTCATGCAGCAAGCCCAGCATCCATAACAAATCAAATTCTACAAAAGGTGTCTGACCCCTTTCCTAAGAATGTAAAGTCAAGGGGCGACCTTCACCGGCTTTTGTAGAAACCCCAGCCTCTTGACAACATTAGTTCTAGTTGATAAGTAATCCTCTTTTGAGTTTTAATCCCCTAATGCTCTTAACTATAAAGGTAGAATATGGTTTATTCCGGGATTTCCCCAGATTTTACATCGTTAAGCACGGCTCCCACATAAAGATCAGCATTCGTATAATATCTTCATAGGCAATCCCCAGGAAATGAACTGATCACGACCACTTTTTCTTTTTCTCGAGCACGACTTAATGAATCTATGATAATGAAGGACACCCAGGTAGTTCTTGTTTCCGAGGAGCCGGTTACCCAGATCGCGAGTTTGGAAACTCAAGAGGGACCAGAAAAACTTTCGACATGGCAGATGGTGATGAGACACAAAGTAGCGGTGTTTTGGTCCGGATTTTTTGCCTTGGCAGCTGTCAACTGGGGAATGGATATTCAGGTTAGTAGACGCTTGAGATCTAACATACACGATTGATGCCTAAACAGTATTCCCAGATATCTGGTGGTGCTATATCGATTGCTTCTTTCGAGCGTGATTTTGGATATAATTACAAAGGCGCGTACATAATCAGTTCAAAATGGCAAACGGGTTTCAATTCTGCCTCCTACATTGGCCAGTTATTTGGAGCGATTGCCACTGGATATCTTGCCGATAGATTTGGGAAGCGGTTGATGATGGGACTTGGGTGCATATTGAGCATTATCGGGGTGTTCTTGCAAGTGTTTGCTCGGTCGTCAGTGGTTTTACTCGTAGGCAAGGTAAGATCGATCCCCCCTTTATAACTCTGGATTGAACTAACATATCAAAGCTTATCAACGGTCTTGCCTTGGGTGCGTTTCTCACCATTCCGTCAAGCTATGCTGCCGAAATATGTCCTGCGACTATACGAGGCCTAACCACCTCTGGGGTTCAACTACTTATTTCAATCGGTCAACTCACGGGCAATCTCGTTCTTAAGGGCACGGGAACATTTGCCTCGGCGAATGCCTACAGAATCCCCTTTGCTCTCCAATTCATATTTCCCACAATCATTCTTCTCGGTCTCCCATTTGCACCTGAATCGCCTTGGTATCTGCTCCGTCATTCTCACATGGACAACACAACCTCCACCCTCGCTCGTTTAGGCTATCTATCTCCTCTTGACACAGCAGAAGAAATGACAACAATCATTTCAACAGAGTCCAAAATTTCCTCCGAAACCACCTACCTTGATTGTTTCCGAGGTTCCAACCTCCGTCGTACCGAAATCTCGATGGGTATCTTCGCCGTCGCTCAGCTTACTGGTGTCGTTTTCTCAGTTGGATATTCGAGTTACTTCTTTGAACTTGCTGGCATGTCTGACTCTAACGCATTTACATTATCAGTTGGAGTTACGATTTTGGGATTATTGGGCGTGATTTGCTCATGGTTTCTTATCAATAGATGTGGACGTCGTTCTACATCTTTTGTCGGAACAGCCATGTTGACTTTCTTGCTGTTGCTGATTGGTATATTGGATATCTTACCTAATTATTCCAGCAAAGGACCAGCTTATGGTCAAGTAGCTTGTGTAATCGTTTTCTCGTTTATCTATCTCTCGACTATTGGGCCAATGGGATGGGCACTCTTTGCTGAAATTCCTTCATCATCATTGCGTTCCAGGACAGTTGGGTTGGGTATAGTGGTACAGAGTGTGTTTGGTATTGTCATGAATATTGCTATTCCACTCTTGATAAACCCAGACTCAGCAAATCTGAGAGGAAAGATTGGGTTTATTTTTGCAGGGACATCAACTTTGGGAACGTTATGGGTCTGGCTAAGAGTTCCAGAAACTAACGGGAGGAGGTTTGATGAGTTGGATTGGTTATTTGCGCAAGGAGTACCGGCGCGAAAGTTCAAGGGGTATAATGTGCCTTTATGAAGGAATGCTTTTGGGAAGTTATGTCAGCGATACGAGTTATGTTAAATCTTACGGATATGGGAGCAGGAAAATTATGGCGCTGATTGGATTTTTTGGATATATTCTTTTACGTCACAGAATAGCTTTGGGAGGACCGGGCATATGAAAATTTTAATGTTTTATGATTGAGTCTTGAATTCCCTAGACAGTTCGCTTGATTACATGACTGTTAGATGTTACTTAGTCCTCTCCCAAATTTCAAACTAAATCCCCTCGAAAGCCCAGATTCGGCTTGAATTCCGACTATTTAATTTAGTTTCCACAAAGTCGCATATGAAGCTGAAAATGTTGTCTGATTTTTTCGATAAAATGGCCAGATCAAAGCGTGGTGGCTGCCCCGCAGGGACATGATAACGGTCACCGCATATTGGAAAACGATTGAAGCAATCGCCCCATACAAACTTCAACTAGCTCAGACTAGGTACGTATTCACAGTACCCCATTTAATCCATCAACTCGGTAGGTCCCGACTGTTAGCCTACCAATACTCTGGACACATCACAAGAATCGGCCCGAATTTGTGGCAAATGGCACCCAGTGCCCACAGCTGGGGATTGTGGAGACTGTCATAGCTTCACGATGAGGGGGGGCCGTTGGGGCTAGTTGGGGCGTCGTGGACATTTATATTCAGTCTAGCCCAAAGTCTACGGAGCTAATGGTCTTATAGTGAACGGACTTCAATGAACAATTTCCGTTAGATTCTCCGCGCAATTAGTAGACAGCTTTGCAAATGCCGTCTATATGTGTCATGGCCTCGGTAATATGATAATTTGAAAACCGCTGCTGAGGTAGTACATATGAGGAGGATGCTAATCTTACCGACCTAAACGTTATCGAACTCTAGCGAAGAAGGGTTCAAATACCTAGTATTAGGTACCCGAAGCTCGACGATATCCGCGCGATCGACCCAGTTTCGGTCCCCGGATTATCGTCAATAGAGATCCTGATGGGTATGGATGTTTGCCAAGCTGGTCCAAAATAAATAGAGTTATACCAAATACCGGATCATCTATTCGCCATATACGGATGGGCGAGTGGGCGGAGTCATTACCCGAAGCTATTATGACGGGCCGGATTTTGCTGCATCAAGATCCAAGTTAGCTGGACCGGTACGGGTTTCTTAATACACCAAATATCGTACAGCCATAGCAGTTGGTCTTTTGGGTAAATTAGCAAGATTGTCGGCAATTCAATCTATGTTTATATGGTATAGCCGTACAGAACAACCATCTTGACACGCATTGTATGCCACCATTCACGAATCTATAAGTTTGGTTAGCTCTAGTACAGCCACAAGATCAGTACCATGAGTACGCTATTCACAGCACAGTCTAGCATTGCATTGAAATTGACCACCGTATCCGTCGTCTTAGCTTCTAATTAGACTTCTATTTAGACTCCCACTTTTCACCATTCTGTTTCACCTTTACAATATCATCAACAAGCACCAACTCCACCGCATAACTCCATCAACCACCCGAAATCAATCTTCAAGAGTACTCGAACAAATTCATCCACCTATTCCACATATATCAGTAGGAAACTTCAATACATTCAATTCAAGACCTAACATCAATATGGAGAGATCCGGAAAAGAATACAAGTGCTCCGGCACCTCAGGTTGCGGAAAGAGTGTTTGGGTACAAGACTTCATTCCCAAGCAATGCTTTCATTGTGGAGGAACTCAGATTTCGCCAGCTGAAGAAGCTGTTAAGAAAGATGAATCTAAACCAGCGGAGTGATGAAGGAGCTTCAAGATACTGATTGCATGATAAGAAGTCGTACATGTGCAGGTGCCTTGTAGATTCTAGGAGAGAGAAAGAGAGCGAGTCAAACTCGGGAGCTGAGGGGGGGTGACAAAGTAGTAGGCTACTAGATTTCTAGCACTTTGACAATCCAATCAAATTCAGCCCAACTTAAATCCCATAAAACGCATTTATCAAATGAGTGATTTGACCACCACTTTTTAATCCCCCATCAATTCACCTCCCCCAAAAACTCAACATGAATCTCGAAATCTCTCCACCTCTGCCTCTCAATATCCTTAAACATAATGTCGGCCACCTTTCTATTCCCCGGCATGATTTTCTCCTCCTCTAACTCCTCAATCCCCAAACTCCTCATCAACCCCCTCATCGCCGCGTTCTTCTTCATCGTACCCGCTTCCACAACATCCACATTCAACTCACAACTCAACCTCAAAAGCAGTTCCATCAAAATCTTGCCAACCCCATGACTCCTTCCCGCTTCCTCAAGAATCGTACCGATATTCGCGAAGCGGGGTTGATGTTCAAATTCATGCATGAGTCCTATGCCTACAATTTTGCCATTTTCCTCTACTAAAAGTGCTAGGGCATTGTGTGAGGTTTTGGAAGTGGAAAAGCGTTGAGTGTATGTTTTTATCAGATCAAGAGAGTCGGATTCTTTCCAGCTGGTATCGTCTGGAGTGCGGTTGTTGGGGTCGTTTAAGGGGTTGCTGAAAATACGGACTAGATGGTCGTAGCGGCTGGGGATTAGACGAATGAAGCGGAGGTGGGGATGAGACGGGATAGTTATTATCCAATCTTCTGTGAAAAGCTTCGGGGAATCTAATGATTTCATGTTGAATTTTGGGATTTTGTGCCAATTTGTGAAAGAAGATGTCGATGGAAATACATTTATAGATATGTTCCTAAAGTGGGGTAAGGGAAGAGTCATTGCGAGATACGCATTGATTCGTAAGACTTTCTTAACAGCTGAGTCTTATCACTAGGCTTCCATTTCGTTGCCTGTTGAATGTTTGCATTTTGAAAATCATCGCCATAGACAAGAATCTGTGGTCCCATAGGAATAAATTGGTTATTTACAACTTATGAGTTCTCTATTGACTCTCATTGTATAGATTCCAACTGAAAAGGGGAACAGTAAATAACGCCAGCGAATTTGAATACTCACACGAAGAAGCCTCACAAGTAGATTAACAAAAAGAACTCGAAGCTACCATCCACGGTCTCCGAGAGCATGCAAACGAGGAATCGTAGCTCTTCCTGGAAATGATGATGGATTTACATAGACACCTCATAGAACCTACTCGCGAGATCTCGTTCATTTCGTGAATCTTCTCGGGTTTACTCCTATGGAGGCTATCATCTCTGCCACTGCTGGTGAGAGAAAATGAGTTGGAAAAGGTTCAGGAGGAGTTCCATGCCGATTGCATTTTGTTTGATGGGATTCCTTTGGAGAACATTAAGATGTTGCAGGATCAGGAGAAGTCGAATGTGATTACTAGGAATGGGAGAGTGCATAAGGCAGAGGGAAGTGAAAAGGTCAAAAATATAATTCCCAAATCTCGTGTACCAGCCAGCTCCCTTCTTCTTCTCCCCTCGTTTGAAATGCATAATAGATTGAGAAGAAAAAAAAGAAACATATTTTGTGATGACTCAAGAAGCGAATATCTTAACGAGACTTCGTCAAGCTGACTTTGATGACTTTCTTAGCTATCTGTTAAATCCAATTTAAAACAAAAAATAAATATGAATAGTCTGTCTGAATACTCTAGATTCATCTGATCTATTGATACAGAAGTGAAATTTGATATTATAGTTGATGAGTTGAATATTGTGCTCTTACTCGTATCTGCTCGAATTATAGAGAAAGTAGCATTTATGATTACGGAGGTTTCTATGCATCTGATTTCTAATGCAATCTTATTCTGTATGAACAGTCTCACAAGTTTAGCCCAACTTATTCAGGCAAGTATGACACTGATTGTCCGACTTCGTACGACCTAACGTGCGGGGTCAAGGTCAAGGTTACCTACCCAGTATCTCAACACAATTCCCTCATCAAGCCCCAAACAAGCCATCTCCAACCCCCACATCACCTCTCCCCTTTCACCCACCGTCTCAAAACACATCTCCACCGCGCTCCAAACACCACCTCCAAATCAACCCAGCCATGATCCCAGCCAACCAACTCATCGCCCAAGTCCGCAGTAATCTCCCTCTCTCTGACCTCCAAGCCTTCTACGCCCAATGGGCCTCCACCTACAATACCCACATCGTCGCGCTCCAGAACTACGTTGCCCCCACCCTCATCGCGCAAATCGCCTGTCAATCTCCTCACTATGCAACCCTCCGCATTCTCGATGCCGGATGTGGCACCGGGCTTGTGGGGGTTGCGCTTGCAGAAAGCGGTGCTACAGACATTGATGGCCTTGATTTTTCGCCCGCTATGCTTGCTCAAGCACGTCTAACGGGCTGTTATCGCAATCTGTTCGTAGGAGACTTGTTGCAGACCATTGAGGTGCCGGATGAAACGTATGATTTGGTGACTTGTGCTGGGACATTTACGCATGGACATGTTGGTCCTGATCCTGCGTTGAGGGAATTTACTCGGATACTTGTCCCAAGTGGTCTTATTATTGCTACTATTCTCGAGGAAGTTTGGGAATCGGGGGGTTACAAAGCTCAGATTGAGAAACTGGAAGCAGAAGGAATTTTGGAGGTTGTTAGTGTGGAGTTAAATGATTATCGAAAGGGATGTGATAAAGCGCATATGATTGTCTTGAAAAAAGGTAGTAATTGAATGATGTGAGAAAATAATGGTACATTGGGTTGGGCTTTATCTTTCTTGATATCGATATTTATTGTTTGATATTACCTAGAAAGCAAGTTCATCCTTGGTGCTGTTCTCAGCAACCTTATCCTCACCACCATCTTGAACCTCTCCCATAACCATGCCTTGACTTTCCGGCAAGGGAACCTTATTCTTTCCTTTCCTATATACTCTCTCATCCCTTGGATCAAATCCACCCTGTCCCCAAGTTGCCCATTCTGGAGTCTCGGCACCCACATAATCCTCTGGGCCAAACTTCTCTCCACTCTCCAGGCACTCGAAAAACTTCTTGTAGTCAATCCTCGTATGCCATTTACCCGCAATGTTGAATCTGTCAGATGCGATCAAGATACAACAACTGTGAGCATGTTCTGCTGCAATACCATACCCTAATCCTCTCCTCTTGAGGGATGCAGTAAGAGCTTCGACAAAAGCGCAAACCTCTTCATAGAATGGCACATTTTGCATCGTGAGCCCTGCACCAGCGGAAGACGATGTTCCGCAATATGTGACTCCTTTAACTTCCACGAAACAAGGCAATCCTTTTTCGACAAGATCGGCATAACCTTCCGCTTCATCTTCGATATTGAAACCTTTGACGAGCGTAAGACGGAACACGGTACGCTGTTCAAAGCGACGCTCGCGGAGGATTTCGAGACAGCGCTGGAAACGCTCCCAGAAATCTCGATGGAGGGGTCTGTCGATTTTACGCAGAGAATCCTTGTTTGAAGCATCGATACTAACGTAGAGTTGAGTGACGGGCTGAAGGGTGGCGAGTTGATCTGGATGTTGTGCATTGCAAACAAGGAAGGTGGAAATGTGTTCTTTGTGGAGCATGCTCGTGAACTCATTGATATGAGGGTAGAAAATTGGTTCGCCGACTAAACTTAGAGCACAGTGACGAATGCGCATTGCTTCCGCAAAACGTTCGGCTCGGACACCAGGAACACCTCTCATCATCTTGATTTTCTTGTAGTGTCCAGCCTTGACACCGTCGAAGATCATTTCTGGTGGGTCTACCTTCCATCTCCAGGTGGTTCCAACGGGGTTGGTACCGTGTCTCCAGCAGAAGACACATTTGTTAGAACATGACAATGATGGTGTAGTCTCCATGCATTGATGAGATGCAATGCCATAAAATGAATATTTATAACAAGAACCTCTGCCTCGCAAAGCCGATTTCGTCCACCTACAAATCTTGACTCCTGAGTGCGACCCTATAATTGAGTAGCCTTGCTTTGTTAAAGCTGCATATGTAGGTGAAGTTGTTGGAACCATTTCCTTAGCGACGACTGGAGCCGTCTTGGCCTTCCCCTTCTTCAATCCGACTGTCGTGAAGTCGATCTCGAGTTCTTCCGGTTCTTCACCAGTAGTTTTGTCTATGGTTTCTGTATTGTTCAGAACGCCTCCAATATCCTCTAAATCGTTCAGACTGTCATCTTTCTTTTGAGTCTTGGCTTTTCTCGAAGCAACATTTTGTTCATCAAAAAGAACTTCCCCATCATCGTCATCCTCAATATCCTCTACATCACTTTCTACCGCATCTCCACTTCCAACAACCCCTTCGCCTAGACTACCGGTCTTTGCAATATGCTCCAGCACGTCTACCACTCCTTCTTTCCATTCCGCCAACCTTTCTTTTGCGTCCGTCTTCGCATCGCCCATTCCTAGAGGGAATGCTCTCTTTCTTCCCGTCAATTTCGCTAACCATTTATCCACGTCCTTAGCCTGCGAACAGAATCCTTCTTCCTCCGTTGGCCAACCCTCTCTATCCCCAAACCCAAACACTGAGTACCCTACCAAGGGCGACAATGGCGCGGTATCGATTCTAAAATCATTATGTGTTTCTTGTAAATGTTCCAGGAAATTGTCCAACACAGTATCGATATTATAACTGGGGATGAGTACTAAATAAAAGTAGCTAACTCCAGATTCGCCCTTTGGTGGGTTAATGAAGTAGTCATCGTAGTCAATATATGAGAGGTCGAGCAGTTGAGATTCGAGAAATTGAATTTTTTGCCCAGTTGCACGTCCAGAGAGATCGCCTCTAATGCTCTCCACAAAAGAATTTGCGGTCTTTTCTGTCGTGCCAGTCAACGATGAAAAGAAAACGAGCGGTTGAATCTTTTCGGGGCCAGTTTGCAGGTTATCCTCGGAAGATTTGCGTTTTTTAATGCCTCCGACTATTCTTCGTGGGGCTTTGACGCCATTGGCTTTCTTTTCGTCAATTACAGGTGGTGATATCTTTTCTTTCACCGCAGGTAAAACCGGTGATGATGGCAAAGGCGATGCAGATAGTTTCTCCCTCACTGTTCGCGGACGAAGGGTTATCCTGACGAGTATGAGGATCGTGGCCGTCGTAAGAATAATCGGAATGCGATAAAGATGCCATAGTGCGACGATGTCTACATTGTAGAAGTATTAATATTTTCTCAATGTACATTGAAAAACGAATAACTTACCATCGATCTCATAAGACCAAATCGGCCTCGAAATCCAGCTATCGGAAGGCATTTCTATATAATGTCGATATTGCGCGAATGTACAATAAACTTTCAAAATTTTGGAGGGGAAGTCAAAATCGTGGGGCACGATGCGGCCGCTGCTATACTAGCGCTGCCCACGCCACCACTAAAAGAATGGGGATTCGCAATGCAACTTTAATAAATGCTCGATGGGCACTCACCGGGAGCAATGCTTGAGACGAATAAGTTGGAACCAACCCGTTTCTTATACGCATATACGTATGCATGTCTACCAAAATTGGTAAAGACTATTCATTTTTTATTAAAATCCACTCTTCAAAACTTTACGACGCATAAATGACATTCATTCAGTCTCGGTTTTATGTTTTCACATATTCCTTATTTTAATCTTTTTTTTTTTTCGAAATTGAACTATTGGATCCTCGTTCTCTTTCTCCTCCCCACAGAACTATCCCCCTCATTGACTTGAGCCGCAATCACGCGTGAGCGATCTTCAAGCCTCAAACATGCGCATGAATGATAGGAAATGTCTTTGATCACATCCACGCGCAAGTAGTCTCACAGAAATCATCAAGAAGAACAATCGTTTAAATTATATCAATTTCATTGACTGATGACGAATATAATATGTATCTCATATCCCCTACGTTTAATCCTTGTGCCAAAGATCCTCTGATGAAGACAGCCGCCTGAGTGAAGATCTGTGTCTCATCTCATACACGGACATACCATGAACACCGAAATCGAATACCAGCCATCATAAGAGAGCATAACACAAAAAATATGCAGAGAACCGTCCTCACTCCCAATCCCAGACACCAAACAGCCATAATAGTACCTGTCCCAGAACCACAGACCCAATTATATCCGCCGTAAGGAAAATTAAAGCAAGTAGAACTCCCTTGTCCCTAATCCCATAGTCCATTCCGTTCCTTGATCCATGTCCATTAAGATTCATTTGTAGTCCAGCCATCAGTACGTTTATCTAATCAATAAAGGCCGAAGCAATTTAGCCCATTGTGTTGCCCATGCTACTACCCATAGCGTTTCCCATAGCATTTCCCATAGCATTTGCTATAGCGTTTGCGCCTGGCTCTGCGCCGGCGGGGGGATCCGACAACTCGTCCCTTCTAATCATTACCCGCTCGTTACAGATATCGATGAATTGCTCAAACTTGTGAATTACTAAATCCTTTTGCCTCAACTGTTCCTTCAAATCTTCTACTTCTTGCTTCCAATCGGCCTTGATTTTCTCTACTTCTGCTTGGGCATTCGCTACCTCAGTTCGGAGCTCGGCGCGGAGTTTCTCTTCAAATGACATGGGGGGCTTTTTGTAAAACGTAGGAAGAGACTCCATTGCTGTGGGTTCAACACGAGAAGGGTCGCGTTTAATAGCGGCTCGGGCATTGTAGATGTCACGAGGAAGGAAGCGAATAGTAGGGTTGTCACGATGAAGAATTTCAAGAGTTTCTTTTACAGAAACACCTGAGAATAGTGTTAGCAACCCATTCATATATGTGAGCGGGCAGGACGTGATATACCGTTTTCCTCAAGAGCCTTTACAGCAGCAATTGCTTTAGGATCTAATTTTCTAGCTCCCGGGTGCTCAGTGGGACTTTCGCTCGGAGGATGATTGTGTGTTAAATGCTCTCCATCAATCCGACCTCGTAGAAGCCAAGAAGTTTTGTTTTCGAGACCAAAGACTCCAAATTCACAACCACATTTACGCGATTTGGTCTTACGCTGTCGCTGTTCACCGGGCACCTTCTCCTTATTGGTTCCGCCGCGATCACAAATCAAGAACACTTTCTTCAGACCTCTATTGTCGCGTTTAGATCTGCCAATGACAAACGCATAACCATGTGTCAAAGCATGTGCCTGCGCAGCTGCAAAAAGGGCCTCGAAAGTTGGATAACTACCTCCTGGTGGGGCAGATAACATTTCACCAGGAGTCACTTCCGGAGCTTCGGTTTGATCATGTTCGTCCGCCGGAGAAAGAAGAGAACCGTTAGGATCCAATTGTTGATCAAGCGCAAGCTGAGGATCAATCATGGACATATCCTGAGTGGAGCTTACCGGTGAATCTTGCGGTCTCGTAGATCCGAGGTTTGAGTTGGCGGGGGAGGGGTTCATGGACGGGGGTCGTTGAACACCAAGACTCTGTCCTTGCATCGCGGGGGATTGTGATTGCCGTTGCTGCGTTGCGAAATCTCGATTTTGATTCATGGCAGATGGGGGAGTTGGGTGAGTTGGATGAACGGCATGAGTGACGGTCATGGACTGATTTTGCGGGGTATGCTGGGGCGCCATGTGAATTGCTGCACCCATGGGAGGTGGACCATTTTGTCTCTGAGGCTGTCGCTGAGCAGTTTGACCATTCGTAGTATTACTCAAAATTCCTTGAGCAATTTGTTGTTCTGCAGATACTCCATTGTTGCCATTTTGTCTGGGCGGAACTGGTTGCTTATTGGCGTATGGAGTTGAGTATGGAGAATTGTGCTGTTGAATTGGTGGGCCGCGAATACCAGTTGAAGTTGGTCTTGGGTAAGCAATGTTTTGTTGACCAAGATTTTGTTGAACAGGGAATATGTGACGTTGTGTATTTGGTTGTTGATATGAATTTCTGGTAGGATCTTGAGGTGGTAAAGACATGATGGAAATTGATAAAGCTCGACGACTCGTATCGTAAAGTGGTCAACAAAAAGTGGTGAATGTATCAATAGAGAAGAACTTTGGAGTGTGGACTCATCAGGAAATTTACTGACTTTAGACCAGTTGTCGATGATTGGTTGGCTTAGCGAACAACTGAAGATTGATGTAACAAATGGCAACAATCGAGAATGGCTCGAGGATGGGGTTTTGCTTTGGTATCATGAACCTTGGAATGGAAATAGCCCGAAAGCTAAGGCTTAAGGCGGCAAGTGCGGCAAAATCGACGGAAATGGCGTCAGTGTAATGGATGGTGGGGTTTTGTTAAGTACAGCTGGAGCATCAGTTCAGTATCTAGGTAGAAATATTGTGAAGGCATTCCTAGTATATAATATTCATGGATAGATAACCTAATCACGACAATAACTTTTTGAGGATATACTATAAGAGAAAGGACTAGGTAGATTCATGCGTACAGTCGATTTTCTGAGCATATATACTTAATCACGTAAATTGATTTGCACGCCCAATGTTTTTAGTTATGGCCAAGCAAATTCAAACTGATGGTGAGTGCTCCACGAAATAACTGATTGTACAATAGATCTAGACAAAGCAATGTATTCCTTGATTTGTTAATGGAAGGAAACAATAGAACGCGTCGAAGATAATGATATCCTTATTATCATGATCATGATCACAAGTAAGGAAGAGGCATTCAAGTGTGTCATATCAAATTACAATAATAGGAATGTATATTCACGACGCTGGTATCCCCCTTCAAAGAAAATATCCTCAACTGCTTTTTTGCATTTTGGTATAATAAGTAGTCTAATGCAAGTCTACAAAAGTTGGATGAATTCCGGATTAGGCCACCAATGTATTATTCGTAGGCAATACCAATTAGAATGCTATTCCCAAAGGATGCCATAGAACCTCACATACAGAAAACAGAATGTTCATTGCTTCTGTCCCAATCATTGTAACGCAATATCGCATATCAAAGTGTTTCGTCTTATGTCGCTCCATCTGTATATCTAGAGGAAGTAATCGGGAGTACCTATCGCCGTTGTTAGCAAGAGATGGAACAGAGATTTGAATTTTTAGGGGTACTTACGACGTGATACCATTGGCTCTCCAGCTCTTGGGCATGGATCAAATTGTAGGCTGCATTATGTTAGAGACTGCGAGATTGAGGAGGATAAAGTTGCTACTTACAAAGTATATTTAAGGTGCTCATCAATCTCCATGATTGCTGCTTGGTTACCACATCTGTAGCAGTAATTGGGGGCTGTTTTATGGTTAGCATCCGACACCGCTGAAAGAGATAAAGGCACCATACCTGAGAAGATCGTAACTACGTTTCTATCTTGAGACCAATTGTATCCCTCCATGACCAATTGATGAGCCCTTGCGACTAAGGTCAATCCGTTATTATGGTTGAACGCCTCCGAAATATCTTGTCCGAAAGTGTAACCTGCTCCTCTAGGGGATATTCCCCATCCGCATCTATCATCTGGATCCGACCATAGCAAGTCGCACATAGGACCTTCATGTGGCACTTCTTGTATACGATCAAGAGCTCTGATGTTGTCCAACGTGTCAATGCTGGGGGAAAGACCTCCGTGGAGACAGAAGATTTGGTTGTCGATGAGGGCGGTGAGGGGAAGGTAGTCGAAGAGATCGGTAAAGTACTTCCAAACATTTGCATTTCCATATTTTCGGAGGCACTCGTCGTAAAATCCATAAACTTGAGTGATCTGGCGGGATTCGTGGTTACCACGGAGGATGGTGATTCTTTGGGGGTATCTTATTTTTAGAGCGACTAAAAGAGTGACAGTTTCGACTGAGTAATAACCTCGATCAACATAATCACCTGTGATAACGTGTCAGTAATTCCAGGAAATAACAGTACAGTAAGGGATAGGAGGCATACCCATAAATAGATAATTGGTATCTGGGTTTGGTCCACCAATTCTGAAGAGCTCCATCAGATCATGGAATTGCCCATGAATATCTCCGCAGACAGTAACAGGGCATTTCTAGATCGTTGATCAGCTCTTTGAATTCCAACACGAAAAGGGCAAGCATACCACCGGCTGTACATTCGACTCGTCTTGCAATACTTCTCGTGCCTGGTAACGCGTCCTTGATTAGCTGGCTCATACTATGCAGTTTGAGAATATGACAAGATTCGCAAACAGTAATACCTTATCGCAAAGCCTCTGAACGTCGACCTCGGCCAGTTGCTTGCACGCCATCAAGTTCTCAATCCACCCATCAAGAGTTGGTATTGAAGCAGGTTCTGCTACTGGAGATAATCCCGTGGGCTCAACCGTCCTGCCTACATCTGCCATATCTGTATCCATTGTGTTCATTCTATCGTGTGATAAATTTGATGGTTTGTTGTTAATTTGGTTGTCGATATTGAATTGCTCAAGCTTGGTGACGACAAGCGCGCGGGTTGGTCGTCAAAAGGGCTATTTAAGTTTGTTGTTCTTTCGGGAAGCGGTCCGCGCAACTTCAACTAGTATCTTATGTTGAGAATCGCAAAAGCAATTTTATCATAAGATTTCAGGGCGTTCGTCGTGCAGAAATGTTTGTGGAGGGGCTTTCAGGTTGTCGAAGCGGTGCGCAGATTATTTGAAAGGAACAGCTCCTCGCTTAATAAGCAGATTTCAAGATCGCAATGAAGAGGATTTGGCATTTATATTTGGAAGAGGCAAGAGAGCATGCGTCAATGCAGATGTCATATTTATTAGCTTTATTTTCTCAACTTTGTTTATCAATGAATTACGGAAGCAAGATTAAGTATTCGCAACAGCGAAAGGGATGTGAATGTCTTATTAAATTCATAAATACAATGACTAAATTGCTGTAGGAGTGTAGATAGACACCTACGTTGATAGTATTTCTTGAACATTCTCTAAAGATATCTTTGGTCGAGTTTTAAAGTTGGTTTAGATATGTATACCAGTTTGCCCATTCGATACAGCATTACGCCAAGCCTAACCCTACGCCTTTGGGTCCGTTGAGAACATCTATCGGGGTTGAACCAATGAGACTGCTAAAGTCTAGAGCAACTTCGGAGAGCATCTTTGCATGCTCTCTTGCCTGATCCATACAATCCGTCCATACTTGACCATTCTTCTCGGTACTGCTAAGCTGTCGTGCAAGAATAACATTGAACGCATCGACCTGCTCTTTGGCCCATTTGACACATGCGCTCATAAGAGGCTGTGGAAAGCAGGCTTGAAAGGTTGACACAGTATTCCGTATTATTGTGAAGTACACGAATGATACCTCCCAGATATATTGGTGAAGATTACCTTCGAATATACACTGTCTTTTATAAAAATTAGTGAAGTCGATTAAATAAAAGTCATTGAATCATACCTTGATCTCTTATGAATGATATCCCCCCGAGCTTCAAGATACGCTTCTCTTGCCCGATCCTCGAAGCCAAGACTTGTTAACCAGCTGATATTGCGTCTAACTTTTTTTGGTTCATTATGTGTATCAACAAGTTCACGGGTGATTAGTTCTGCAAGTCTGGTGGCTCTTTCATCCGCTTTAAAACTGATGAAATCTTGGGCGACGATATTGCTCTTAAGACCCTTGGCTAAGGAATTTAGTTTTGCAACTCGTTGGACTGCCATGTCAAAATGCTGCAGTGCGATTTCGATATCCAACTCATCAACCTGACTTTCCACCCACCGCAGATTTTGCTGCTTGCCATCAACTTCGATAAGCATATCTTTGATGTCCGAAAGAGTCTCGAGTAAATCTGTCTTTTTTAACAATCCCGGGTCACGAGAAGCAAAGTAGTTAATCGTTTCTTTGGCCTTGTTGCTCGTTTCCATTTCCGATCGGAGGCCTTTGTGAAGCTCTTCTACTGCCTTTCGAAAGTTCATCATAAGAGAGGACTTTTCTGTGTCACCTGGTTTTTCCGTACGATATGTAAAAGATTCTTGACCTACACCTCTGATCATGATCGCATCGGCCAGCTTATTACGCACACTAGTCCCTTCACTCGTCCCTGCAAGGTCAACAATTTCAATGTCTAAAAGTGGCCAGCATCTGTCTGCCACTAACTTCGATGGCGCTTGTCGTTGATCGGCGCCCTCGACTTTTCGCTTTTTTCTCGATGCAACTAGAAGATGATCATTCAACAGCACAATCTGCATGGCTCTTCGAGATTTCCAAGTAGCGTTATCAAGCTCTATCCAAAGCCCGGCATTTTTTACCACGTGACGACCAGGGGCTGCTGGTAGAAATTTTTGGGAGCCCTCAATGGTCTTCCATAAAGCCTAGCAAAATTAGTACTTCTACCAATTAACACTTGAAAAGCGTGGACCTACTTGAAGCTGCGAGTTCCACATGGCAGTTCGGTCTGCCACAGAACTTCGCTTGTCCCTTTTGCTCAAAGTTGGTGGAAAGCCGTCAAAATCAGTCGACGAGGATGATGGACCTTGTGAAGAGGTAGTTCTGAGCGCAGTGGTATTGGTTTTGAGTTCCGCCATGAGATTTCGGAGTGCGCGCATCTCCCCTTTGAGCTTTTCTGCCTCCTTACTAATCTTGATGAACTGCGTTCGATTTTGATACACATTTTGTTGTAAATCCGTAGAAGTACGATTCTTCATCTTCCTCAGATTGGTTTGGTAGTCCTCAATATCTTGTTCCGATGCATCACTTAGTAGTCCCGCTACGTACACATCTGGCCTCAAATTGGGATCGCGCAGAGCTCTCTGGTCTACTACCAAGCCAGGTCCTCTTGCCGGCGAGGGACCTCGTGAACGGTCAGTTGCTGGGGCATACTGAGCTGGTAGATTGGGAACAGACGGGAGAGGAGGAGCGGAAGGGTCGAAGTCAGAGGGAAGATTATTAAATCGAGTAGAGTATCGTCGTTTCACTAGATCAGATGTCTATGACGTCTATTAGCAGCCATACCAAAAATAAAAAGACCTTTCTAACAGAACTCAAGATAAACCTTGACATACCTTTCCGCCAGGCTGAGGACGTTGCGTGGGCGGGGCATTAAAGGATGGCTGCCCAGCACTTCGTGAAGCATCCCCTCCTGTTTGTGGAATTGGACCAGATATCTGTTTGGGAGCACTTATTGCTGGACGACCCTTCCTCTTGGTCCTTAGAGACACGCCTTTCCTTTCGTCCGACATGATATTGTAGTTACTGCGCAAGGAAGAGCAAAGAAATGAGGGTTAAGTTGATGAGTAAGAGGAGGTTATGTATCGAAAGGGACGTGTTTTAAGGTTCAGGTTGGTCCATAGACATATATCCCAGAGTAGGAGTAACCGAAAGGAGCAAGCGCTCCCGCAGACCTATGTTTGTCTGTACCTAATTTGGTCAATTGGTCAATTGGACTTGAAAAGAAGAAAGTCAATGGAATGATGTTTCCAATTATCATGTAATAAGATGTAATGAATGATTCAATTGAATTGTGAAGCCAATGACTACCGTAGGTAAAAGGATTATGACGACGAACTAGCTACCCGTATTGAGTGCCAATCAATCAATCTGACAAGGACGCGGCGATTGTCCTTTCAAAATATTTGGTGGGTGGATTTAGATTGGTCCGAGAGCCGCTGGACCTAAAATTCCCAAAATTTATCGATAGCTTTGGCCGTAAGAAACATTTCTGAGCTTTGGAGACTTGAGATCAACCCCATCAATACCGTAGACGACCACAGCTGATAAGCTTCTTCATTTTTCTTCCCGAATCTTTCTTTAATATCGCACAAATTTCTACGAAATGGTTCAGACTTCCACAATCGTCGCTGCCAGTGTTGGCACAGTTGCTACAGGATTGGTCGGTAGGTGATTTCTATTCTCGAATAGAATTTCCAAATTTGCTCACAATTCTCATCATAGCCTACGCAATTTATTTCGACCATAAGAGACGCACCGATCCAAACTTTCGCAAACAATTGAAGAAAGAATCGAAACGACAAGCAAAAGCCGCGAAGGAGGAAGCGGAAGCTCACAATGAGAGACAAAAAGAAGTTATCAAGGCAGTGGTTGTAGAGGCCAAGGAAGATGGGTTCCCCGTAGACGTAGAGGAGAAGGAGGCATATTTCATGTCGGAAGTTGCTAGAGGAGAAGGCTTAAGCTCAGAGGGTGAGTGATCTTCACGAAGAAAGCCAGGTCTCGAATCTAACACTCGATCACAGGTGGCGACCCCATAGAAGCAGCACTTTGTTTTTACAAGGCACTCAAAGTTTATCCTCAACCAAATGATTTAATATCTATCTACGACAAGACAGTGCCAAAGGTAGCTTCTCACATCCCAATTTTATCAACCAAGAGACTGACAAAAGACTAGCCGGTCCTCGATATTCTTGCAGAAATGATTGCAGCGGATGCAGCTTTAGATGTTGGACCTTTTGGCGGCAGTGGTTCGGATAGTGGAATTCCTGGCGTTGGCCTTGATTGATTAGTTTGGCTGTTGTCTCAATATACATGTATTCTGAACCCCTCCACTCTTCCTTATCACCCAAACTTTTTACCGACTTCACGAACGGCGACTGGATAAATTCCGAAACCCCAGGGTGGACTGTATAAAAGTCCAATGTACATCAATTCGCATGCTTGGCGTCCGTAGGTTCTCGCATTACGCATCACATCTAATTTGTACATAGTATCCATACTGTCAATATGGGCCTGGTTGTTATTTGCACGTCTGCAAAAAGCCGTACGTAGGTATGTAATGCACATCAGGTCAGCCAGATTCATTGTTATACCTAGCACCGTGCAGATCGCTTGTTTTGCATTCCCCGCACTCAGTGCTCTGTAGTTTGACAAGTGCAAGATGCTGAGCATGTTATTGCGATTGAGTAAACGTTTTATGATCTGTATTGAAATTTTGTGTTGCTTTGGAAGACCTAGAGTGTCTCAAATATGAATGTGAATGTGCCAATGGATGCGGATGTCTGGATATATTTGACTGCTTGGAAAGATTTGAATATGCACTTGAGTGTGGATGTCTATTAAAAAATGGTTGTTTGAACGAATGTGAATGCTTATAAGATTACATTTCCAGCACATGGCATTTAAGTCTCAATGCGTGCTCGATCTTACTATGGAAATGTGATGTGTGAGTGTACCTTCTGTCTCCTATGTAGAAACAACACCATGTTATTCCCATTTCGGAATCGTAATAAATTCCACGAGGTATTTTCTCCGCTGTGATAAGGAGATGGATATCGAAGACAGACTACCTCTACCTAGAAGCGGGAGTTATATTAATAGGAGAGAGAGAAAGGGAAGTCAAGAATGATTGCATGACACTAGGCACTAGCGAGCGGGATGATTAGAGCGACAGGGGTTTGAAATCGCGGTCGCGACAACAAAATCAATGTAATTAAATACAGCATCGGTATTTGGGTTCTACCATCCTACCACCCACTTTCCTACCACAGAAATCAACAAAATTCACCCCCTTACAATATATTGTAAATACCTTACTTTATTAAGATCACCTTATGACATAGAAGAAATAAAATACACCGGTGATGAATACAACCCTATAAATTATCAACTTAACAGCCATGAGCTTGCTTGACTCCACCGCAAGTCCCTCCGGAAATGGAGCAAACGGGGTCGGAACGAGCGCATTTCC